CCGACGGCGTGACAAGAAGGCAGAGTGCTGCAGCCGCACGTGGGGGGGAACAAAGGCAGTCACGCTGAGATAGCCTTTCATGCCATCTCGGCTCCTTTTGCTTATTCTCCGGTGCTTCTTCATTCGTAAGGTCTGAACCCCGAGATCCCGCGCCTCTGCCAAGACCCTGGACACCCAGCCCAGCTTAGACGCCCCTGGTCCCTTTAATCCGCCCCGCCCCCCCGTCCCAGTGACGTAGCATGCGTGGGGATTCCTGTCCACGGGGACTTCCCGATAATATGGCTGCGCTGGACAGAGTCCCTGGGGTGCTTTCTTTGAAGACGTCTTAACATCCAGGAGAATGGGATTGCCAAAATCAACGGGGGTCACATAACCCAAAGCCGTGGGAATCCGGGTGGGGTGGGGGCGTGTCAAATGGCGGCAGCGCAGTGAAGCCGAATTTTTTCCCTATGATTGCAATGGGGACTTGATTTGTGCAACAGGGCAGTGTAATAGGAAGAGTTTTTTTTCTTGAAAAAGAGTGAGCTAGGCATAGTGGCCCACGCCTTTAATCTCAGCACTTGGGAGGCAGAGGCAGGTGGATTTCTCTAAGTTCGAGGCCAGCCTGTTCTACAGAGTTTGAGGATAGACAGAGCTGCATAATGACCTTGGAACTCCCCCCAGCCCCCCTTAAAAGACAAAACAAAACAGTAAAGTCAAAAGCTGTACTCCCTCTGTTGACTAATTTTTTTTTTTAAATCTTTGTGTTTGTGTCGATACCTCCAAAAGCCAGCAGAGGGTGCTTAAAGGAAAATCTGAGCCACCCAACATGGAAGCTAGGAACTGAACTTCTGAATCCTGGTCGTTTGCAAGAGGCGTGTACTCTTAACCACTGAGCCATTTCTCCAGCCCCTAGACTTTATTCTTAATTATGTGTATGTCTGTGCAGCGAGAGCAGGTGTCCTCAGAGATCAGTGGAGCTCCTGGAGCTGGGGTTGCAATCAGTTGTGAGCTACCTACCATGGGTGCTGGAAACTGTCTACTTTTAAGTAGCACCCAAAATTTATTGTTTGTTGAAACCGGGTCTTACTATGTGGCCCTGACTGGTCTGGAACTCACTTTGTAGACTAGGCTGGCCTTGAAATCACAGAGATCCACCCCTCCTGAATGCTGAGACTAAAAGGAATACACCACCACACTCAGCCTGAATTTACTTCTTCAATGGAGGTTAAAGGGTGGTGTTGCTTTAAAAAAAAAACAAAAACAAAAAAAACAACAACAAAAAAACACACTTGGAGGAAGGGTAGAAAACTAAAGCCTAGCCAGGCATTGGTGGCACATGCCTTTAATCCCAGCACTCGCCAGGCAGAGGCAGGCGGATCTATGTGAGTTCCAGGCCAGCCTGGTCTACAGAGCTAGTTCCAGAACAGCCTCCAAAACAATACATAGAAACCCTGTCTCAAAAAAAAAAAAAAAAAAAAAAAAAAAAGAAAGAGGAGGAGGAGGAGGAAAGAAAGAAAAGAAAAAGAAAACTAAAGCCTCAATAAAACCATGTTTGGCTTCAAATGCCAGCTCTATGTGGTCCAGGTACACAAGGTCCCTGTAATGATGTAAGTGGAAATTTTTGTTCATTTGTCATTGCTGCATTGGCTTCTCAAAAGTACAGTCAGTCTAGACTTCAGACTGGTATACATATGTGAGGACTGTGGCTCTCACGCTTGGGGCCTGCCTGAAGGAAGGGACAGCAGGCATATGACATTACCACTGCTGACAGAACAGAAATTTGTATCAGAAGTAGGGTGGCAGGAGAATGGCTGGAACAGGAGCTGTAGTTCCAGACTTCAATCAATATTTTAATTACCAAGTCTATATTTAGCAGTATAAGAGGAGAAGGGAGAGAAAAGGGGTAGGTGGTGAGGGCCTCAGAAGAGCTGACCCACATTCTGCACCTGGCTGCAGAGGCTTGCAGTCCTGGCCAGGACTCCTTGGCCTTGTGCCTTTCAGAAGCCAAGACCGGTGCCAAGCAGGTGTTTAGGCAGCAAAGGCTCAGTGGTTGCTGCAGACCTCATCAAAGAGACACATGTCCTCAGTATACTGTCCTTTAGTCTTCCTCCAGAGCTGGGCAGTCAGGGATGGCCAAGGATTTCAGGGAGGTCAGTGTGACTGCAGGGTCGCTGCTATTGCCTTTGCAGTGGCATTGACCACAGTGACAGGGAGCCCGGCAGCAGGGAGCACAGCAGGAATGTCTCTAGGGACCCTCTGCATGGGTGGGACGTTGGGGCCCTCCAGGGTGTCCAAGATCCCTAAAGGAGAAAGATGGAGGATGAGTGAGAACTGGTTAGGCAGGCCCCCAGGGCAGCTCATCCAGCCCACTCCCCCACACAGGCCCCTCCTGCCACTCACCCTCTACCACCTTGTGGTAGGCAAAATGCAGATAGAGCAGAAAGAGCATGTGCAGAGCAGCCAGTGTGCCACAAAGGAGCAGCCGCTGGGTGGGGCCTACAGTCCTTGACACCAACACTGCCACCTAGAGCCACAGGTATACAGTTCAGAAAACAGTTCACTGTTTTCAAAGTGAAGGATGGAGAAGATGCCCAGGGCAGAACTGTGTAGAGTCCTTTGTGGGGTGGACAGCAAAACCTGCTCAGCTTACCATACGCAGGGTGGACAGCCCACCCACCAGCAGCCAGAAGAGGTAGAAGAGGGCATGAAGGTGAATGTTATAGGTGATGAACAGGACAATACAGTGCCCAAAGAGACCATAGCCCTGGGGAGAGAGATGAGAGGATCGTCACTTGGGCTGGAGTGGCCTTTGGCCCTCGGTGGGGTCTTCTGGCCTGCTCCTCTCATCCCAAGTCCACAGATCCCTGGAGGGTCTCAGACCACACCTCACTGATCTTAGGCTAACCCCTGCCCACTCCTGGGCTCGGCTCCTTACCAGCAGTGCCAGCATCTGCAGCATGGTGATCTGGGCATTGCACAGGTAGGCAAGGAAATAAATGAAGGACGAGACACCCAGCCAGTATCCGAAGCAGGTGCCAATGGCTGTGCCCATCAGGGTGCCCTCACGCTGTGGGGTGAAGGCTCTGCTTAGGGCTAAGACACCTCTGATCTCAGCCTCACCCACCGCTTTCTGAAAGGGCTGCTCTGTCTCACTCCACCACCATATTCTCAGGCAGTTTTCAGCCTACATCAGCTACCCGCCCTTCCGCAAGGCCTGTGTCCTGCTTACGATAATGGTATCAGAAGTCTTCATCCCATGGAGGAGGATGGCGACCAGTGTGAAGACCAGCATGAGAGGTCCATAGAGCTCACCTGCAACTTTCTGTCAATACATGATACGTTCAGACTGCAGGCTGCAATGCCTCTTCTCTTCACACCTTCCCAGGCTTGGCCTGGTGGCCCACCCTCTACACTGCTGCCTCCCCTGCTCTGCAGACATGCCTTTCCCTATTCACCTGGGGGAAGTTGACCATCTTGATAGGGATCATGGACTCCAGGAGCCTGGGAGAGGAGAGGAGAGAGAGGAAAGCAGATGTAACACTATGCTGAGGTTCTGGAGGACAGGGTATGAATCTAGTTACTAATGTCTCTACTGCCAGGGAATAGGGCTGGCCCAGAGGACATACTGGATGAGAGGGGAGGGGGTAAAGACAGGGAATGAAAAAATCACTTTGAGGACGGACAACCTTCTCAGGTAAGTAACAGCTACTTGGAAAGCTTGGAGACACCAGAGCATTTGACCATTTACCTACATGGCCTATAGAAGACACACAAACATTAGCCGAGAGTACCCAAAAGGTGGAAGCCCGGGGAACAGTGTAACTACTGAGGGAAGCAGTATGCTTCCTGACTCTTTCTGATTACTATTCTTCCAGGCAGTGAGCATTTTTCTTGAAAAATACATTAGAAATGGTATGTAAATTCCACACAGGGGGCTGGACAGGTGGCTCATCCGTTAAGAACACTGGCTGCTCTTCCAGAGGTCCTCAGTTCAATTCCCACATGGTGGCTCACAACCATCAGTAATGAGATCTGGTTTCCCTCTTCTGATTTGCAGGCATACAGCAGACAGAACACTGTATACATAATAAATAACTCTTAAAAAAATATCCACACAGAATAAAAAAGAGATCTTTCTTTCTTTCGTTGTCTATGGCTACTATACCTTTGGTTATTCTTGTTTTTTTTCTTTTTGAGACAGGGTTTCTCTGTGGCTTTGGAGCCTGTCCTGGAACTAGCTCTTGTAGATCAGGCTGGCCTAGAACTCACAGAGATCTGCCTGCCTCTGCCTCCTGAGTGCTGGGGATTAAAGGCGTGCACCACCACAGCCCAGCAAGTTGTTCTTGTTTTTTAGGAAGGTTTCTTGGACTATATTTTTAGTTACATATTACTTACTCTGGGAAGCCTTCCCTTTGGACCCTACAGCCTCTCAGGGCTCAAGTGTCCCTTCTGTGTATTCCACAGTTGTAGTAGAGTGCTATGTTGTGACTGCATTCAATAGCAGGGCTCCCACCTATCTTCACTAATGAATCAGATATCACAGAATAAAAAGTCAGTGTATAGTGGCCCTGGGTTTTGTATCAGCACTGGTTACAGGAAGAAAAGAACCAAAGCCAGACCGAGTCCAGTTCCTGAGAAGGCAGTTAATGAGTATGCTGATACTCAGGTGGCCAGAGAGAAAAGAGTTTATAAAATACAAAAAAAAAAAAAAAAAGGAAAAGAAAAGAAAGAAAGAAAGAAAGGATAAAGACAGCAGAGTCTGCTTTTGAGAAGCTCTTGGTCTCGGGAGAGACCGACCAGGAATAAAAATCTATGTAGCCACATGGTAGAAGCCAGCAGAGTTGTCTAGGAGTCCCAGCTGGGGAGGAATGAGGACACAGCAAGTGCTGTCCGAGCGCGGTGTCTGGTAAGATGGGCAGCATGCACACACTTTCACCACCAGAGCTCAGGGCTCAGTATCTGACTGCAGTCTGGATGAGGGACTAGATGTGAGGACAGACTCTTCTGAGAAGACTCCTCACCTGCTTCGGACCTGAGCAGGCTCCACATCAAAGTAGGGTCTCAGGATGTCGATGTTGGCATACAAGCTGAAGGCTCTGGAAGCTTGTCTCTTCCCTGCCTGCCACATCTGAAGGGAGATGGGTATTATGAAACTGGTGGCTCTAGACTGTTAACGTTACACAGCCTTTGCCAGATTTCTGTGTGGTTCTCCCTGGAAAACCTACGTCACCTTGGGACACACATGGGTCCACTTTCCCATCTGCTTACCTGATCAGCCACCTGTCGGCTCAGCTGTCCCTTAAAGCCTTTCATGCCCAGAAACTCGCCATCCTCCTCTTCTGCAGCAGCTGCGTCGGCATCCACTTCTTCCTCACGCAGGCGCTGATGCAGCTCCCCCATGTCCTCGAAGCTGGAGCCTGACGTGTCATCCATGTTCTCCATGTCAATCACGGCCGAGCCCCCGCCCTGTGAAGACAAAGGCTGCTAGAGAGCGGGGCCTTCTGTTGCACCCTTCTGCTCTCTGCTCATCGCACGGTTTGAGGCTTTGCTCTCCCACTGATGAGGACATTGGAATTGCTACCCATCGTGCCAAACTCCTCCTTGTCACTGCTGGCACAACTCTTGTCGCCACACTTTTGTGGTTCAGAAAACACACTACTCATCTTCAATTCACGTTGTTTTCCTACCTTCCCCCTCAAAGCTTCGAAGTGCTGCACCGGGGCCGACCTGCCGCCACCCACCTTCAAGCAAGCCTATGTGCACACAGGCCACCTTTAGGTTTCTTCGAAGCCTCCCCACTCCGGGCCAGCTCCGTTTCGGACGCCGCTGGCCGGCGCCGCGGGAGTCGCCATGTCCCTCGAGGCTTTCCGTCGCTGAAGCTCGCGGGCGTGGGACCAGCGTGAGACCCGGGCCGGAGAGAAGGAGGAAACGTCCAGGAAAGAGAGAGGGCGAGGTAGTATCAGCCGGAATGCAAACAGGAGAAACCCGGATGTTTGGCCCCAATTGACGTCCGGAAGTGAAGGACGTGGACGGGGTGGGGCAGGATATAGAGACATTTATAAG